TCGGCTTACAATTTTTATTACAAAACTTTGCAGTATTTAAGAAAATTATAATTTTGTAATTATTTTAATATTTTAAGTTGAGTATAAAATAATACAAACGAAATTTCGCTTAAAGAAATCACAAGTAGATTGTAATTAGAAATAATTATATACTATTTTAATTAGGTTTTAAATGTAAGAATATGTATAAAAATAAAAATTGCAAATGTTAACGAAATTATAAAAATGATGGTATTATAATGCTTGTTGGTTAATTATAAGAATGAAATTTTAATTTTGAAAAGTTTATTTAAAAACTATTACCAACTTTTTTAAAATACTTTTGAACATAACTGAGTAAAAATTGAAATTAAAACAAAACATCTTAAAAGAAAATTAGAACAAAATAATTAAGTATTTGTTTTTCCTTACATAATATTGTTTTTTTACTATTAATTTATTTAAAAACAAAAAAAAATTTAAAATTCAATTCTAAGAGAAAGAAAGCTTTGACTCATTTCATTAACTTATATTTTAATTATTTAAACTTAGTTTTTGTAATTTCCTTACATAATATTTTTTTCTTTTCCATTAATATTATCATATTATTTAAAAAAAAAAAAGAATTAGTTTTATGTATTTTAATTTTTGAATTTCAATTCAATGCATAGCCATTTTTTTTACAACAAAAAAAAAAATATAAGAAACAAAAATGAAACATTTAAGAATTTTTTATTTGTAGTAAAAATTACTTTTAGAATTATTTAAAATATTATTTATAAAATACAATATGTTTTTACTAAATAGGAAATTTTCTGAAATGCACTTGTTTTTTTTTTTTTGTATTTTGCTATACGAACAAACCTTTTATTATTTTTTCTTTTTAAGTATAGCAAAAAATTTTTTATAGTGTTTTTATAATTTTTTCCTTGTTTGGTTTTTTTTTTTTTATTTAAGCGGAAATCGTTTAAAAAAATCGACTTATATCTATATATATAAAATATATTATGTACATCAAGTTAATAGAAAAAAAATTAAATAATAAAAAAAAAATTGAAATTAAATATAAAATAATAAAAAAATATAAAATATAGTGTTTGTAACAATGCTAATATGGTATGTTTGCACATTTATTTTTTAATTGTTGAAATTAATAATATTGAAATGAATATACAAACAATATACACACACATAATTGTATATAAAAACTTTTTGTTTTCCAAGAGCTTTAAAAAAAAAAAAATTAAATTTGTTGAAAAAAAATTGGAGATTTTCGATAATTCAGACATGCACTGAAAATTCTAAATTAAATCCTAAAAATCTTTTCACAAATACTTACAAATTTGCAAAAACTGAATATTTTACTTTTGCAGATTTGTAACCAATCTGCAAAAGTAAAATATTCAATAAATAATTAAAAAAATAAATAAAATATTCAATAAAAAACCAATTTGTAATTCTTTAATTATTTGTCTGTGTTAAATTCAATATTTTTATATTATGTACATCTTCTAATTTATGATATTTTTTAAGTAGTTATAAAAAAAACTTAAGTATTCCTTTAGAACTTTAAGCACAAATGTCATTTCCGAACATGCTTTTTTTGCAATTTGGATTAATCGAATATGCTTTATATTAAGAACTAAGTCACATCAGAATTATCGAAAATCCCCATTATATTTAAGAAATTTTATTTGTAGTTGTTTTCTATATAATTTAGGTATGCGTGCATAAATTAACTAAATTATTTAATTATTATTCTAAAACAATGTTGTATATATTTTGCATTAAAGTATATATTCCATTTCAATATACATGATTTAACTTAAAACAATTGATATATAGAAAAAATTTTATGTAATGCGAGTTTTTCAATTTCTTTAATTTATTTTGCATATTTTTCAAACTATTGAATGTAGATATTTTTTATTTTTAATGATTTTCTATTACAATTATTAATTATTATGAATTATGTATAGCTTGTTGTTAATAATAAAAAGCAACAGAAAACAGAATCTATTAATTTTTGTAAAAAAAAATTTTCATATAAAAATTCAGTAATAAAATTCATATAATTTAATTCTTTTTTTTTTTAATAAATCAAAAATAAATTTTTTGATATACATAAATGTAATTTAAAACTTTATTAATATTAATTTATGTTGTATATATATCAAGTATGTACTATATAACATTTATATATATATATATATATATAAATAACATTTATATATATATATAACATTTAAAATGTTATATATATATATAACATTTATATATATATATATATATATATATATATATATATATATATATATATATATATATATATATATATATAAATAAAATTATTTGAAAATATTTTCACTAAAAAAATTGTAACTGCATATAAATGTATAAGTATACAAAGTTAAACTTTAAAACAGTAATTATTTTTTTTAATTAGAGTGCTTTTAAAAGAATAAATAAAAAGTATATAGATATTTTCGATTTTTAGTTAATTAAATTTATTAAAGTTTAATATTTGAATCTTATAGATAGATAAAGTGCATTGTTTAAAGTTTGAATAATCGGTTTGAATAATATTTATAAGTAAATTTCAAATTTTTAAAATAATTATAAAAGATTCTATATTATTGCGCTTTAACTATTAATTTATTTGTAATTTTAAATGCACATTGAATGAAATAAAAAAAAAAATATATAAAAGGTGAATTTTATTAAATTTCGTGTTTTTGAAAATTCAGTTCTAACTTTTCTAGTATTCTAGCAGCGTGTTAGTTTAATAAGAAACGTTTAGAAAGTATTCTTGAAAATTAAGTGTAGAGCAGAAATATGAAAAAATTAGAAGTTGTATTTTCCTTGTTGCCAACCATATTTTTTTTTACCTAAACTTTTTTCTAAAAATTTTTCCGATTTTAAAACAATACTTTTATTTCTTCAGATTTTTTCTCACTACTTGACGTAAGAAATTCTTTGTTTTTTCTTAGAAATGTGAAAATTTTGAAAAATATAAATTACTTTTAATTATTCACATTTACCAATGTGATAAAACTCTTGGAGAAACTAAAGAGCTCTTGTAGAAAATTTTTGTTTAACAAAATATTTTTGTAATTATTTTTATTACAATATAAATTAAATGTTAAATAATTTAAAAGTGTATCGTAGTAATGTAATCAAAAAAGAAATAGAATTTAATTTATATGAAATTTAATTCTATATAATTTAAATATAGGTGAAATAAATAAATTAATAAAATATCGTGGTTAATTTTTGAAAGTTTGTTTTTTTAAGATTTTTAAGATTTTATTATATTAATTGAATATTAATACAATAATAGATATTATACAGTTTTTATGTTGTATGAAATTTAAATATCTTTAAAAAAAAAACATATTTAATAATAAATATTTTAATTAGAAGTTATAAATATAAATTTAAACTTTAAGAGTAAAGATTTTTCATTTTGTGTTTTTATTTTTTTTTAGTGAAAACTATAATATTTATATATATATATATTTATATATATATATATATAAATATGTTTTAAATAAATAATGTATAAATAAATATATAAAAACATTATTTATATATATAAATAATATATAATTAATGTAGATATATTTACATATTATTATTTATAGTAAATGTCATAAAAAAGTTAAGCGATTGTAAAAATTTTACATATTTTTGTTTTTTTTTACTATTTTTAAAAATTCATATACAAATATTTAATATGTTTATTCATTTAATAATTGTTGTATAATTATATAGAATTATGTTGTTGTAAGCGATAAATTAAAAAAGTTTTTAATATATATTTTTTTTATTATAATATTTTAATATTTCATATACTTTTTTAAATTCATTTTTAGAAAAGAAGTTTAGAAAGTTTAATCAATCCTTAAGTACTACAAATTTGGGAACGAAAATTCAATTAAGTAGCGCATAATTATATATTATACTAGTATATAGGAATTATTTAGTACCAAAATATTTTATAAAATTCGGCAAATATCCTATACACAATTTCGACAAAATTGTCATATCAAAATATTATTTTTTTTTCATAGTTTCTATAATGTATTTTAACAGGAGAAAATTGAAGAGAAAAGAATTTGAATAATTTTTACAGAAAATTTACAATTTTATTTTTTCAAATTTATAATTTTATTTTTTTGAAATAAAAAGTTATAGATATATAAAAAATTTATTTTTTATAAATAATATATAATGGTATAATATAAAAGTTTTAATATAATAATATTAAAACTATAGACGCGATTTTAATGCAAACCATAACTGTAAGTTTTTTTTATAAAAATTGTGTAATTTTAATAATTTATTTAAAAGTGTTTAAAAAAAATAATTAAATAAAATACAAAAGTAAAATGAAAAAGTAAATAAATATTAATCAAATCAATATTATGTGAGATGATGTTACAACTGTAAATACTAGTTTTACCGCCATTTGGAAATTAATTCTTTTTAAAATTTGGATGGAGTTATCATTTACAATCATATTATTTATTCTATTTTATGGTCATTCAATAATTTCTGTAGTATTTAAGGGTTAATATTCGTATATGTTTTTAAAAATATGTTATTTTTTTTGTTTTTCTATTTTTATATGAATTTTATATTTGAAAAGTTTTGTTGTGCAAGAAATTGTATGTTAAATTTATATTTTTAAAGAAATTTTTTTTGTATTATATTGTTACATTAAAAACACATTTGATTTTTACATATTTCTTTTTTTTTATTATTTATTATTTAGTATTATAATAAAAACTTAGATTTATAAGTATAATGTTTAAAGTTTTTTAAAAATTTGAAGATCCATCACTCAAATTTGATTTCTTATTTAATATTTTATTTTAAATTTTATTTTCTTCTATAAGTGTTGCTTTTTTTTTGTTTTTGGACTTAATTTTTTTTTGGGTTTATTTTTTAAACTTTAATTGATTTTGTAGAATTTATTCAACAATACAAAATTTAACTTATATTTTATGATTAATATACAAAAAAATATGAAATAAAATAAAATAAAAAAAATTACAATAAAGGAGCAAACAATAATTCACCTAAAATTAAATTTATTTATAAAATAAATGCTGTAATTGTAAGAAAATAAAAATATAATATTTTAATTTTGGCGCTCAGAACTTATACAAATGGGTACCTTGGGTATTTCTTTTAGCTTTTATAATAATTTTATTATTACTTTTATAAATATTTTAAACATTTATTTAAAAATTTTTATTATGAGTTTACTTTAAAATTTTATTTTATGCTTAGTTAATATATATTACATCACTTAAAATTTAAATTATGATAGCAAGGAACAAATAAAAGCAATTTACTTATTTTAATAATATTTTGAATTTAATATTTTCTTGTAAATTGCTGTTTTTATGTATTTCAAATACATTATGTTTTATTTACCCAAGTTCTAAACCTATTTCTTTTGTACACCAAGAAGTATCGACTAAAAACGTCAGTTAATTTTTTTGTCGAGGATCTTTGTCTTGTTTTTTTTTTGTTTATCATTTTCTTTTTGTTTTTTTTTCTTTGTTAAAAAAATAGTTCATTTATACTATAATATATTTATTTGTTTTTGGTTTTAAATTATATATTTTTAAAATATTTCCGATTTTTTTCTCCTATTTTGTATAATAATTTTTAAAAATCATTACAGTGTCGTTTAATTAATTTTTTTTTTTGATTTGAATTTATAATTTTTAAGGTTTTTTTTTAGTTTCATATATTTTTAGATTGTTGAACTTAATTTTAATAAACGATCTGGATGTTTGTGCCTCAAATGTGATCTTAGAGTATCAATTCTGCTATAAGATGCAGTACAATATGGACAATTAGAACGTTGAGCTGTGTGTGAATGAAAATGATGCCATCTATTTGTAACCTCTTTGCCACAAGATCTGCAGCGCCACATAGTGCCAGGATCACGTGATGGAATAAACATATTATGATAAGACATTTGATGATGTGAATTTTGATCATGATGTGAACCAAGACCACTATTACCTCCTCCTCCATTACCTCCACTACCTGATAAACGACAATTATTACCGGTTGTTGAACCAATGCCACTACCAATGCTACCAGCTGATGGACTACGATGATATGGATCATGTATATTACCGCCACCACCAATTTGATGTGAACCATGTTGTAAATGTGATGTATGATATTCACCTTTAAGACCGGCAGCAACAGCTGCAGCTGCTGCTAAATGCATTGGAAATGTTGTTGGTGGTGGTGAAGCAGATGATGTAGATAACGGTGTTGCCATTAAATGATGACGTCCTCCTAGAATATGGCCTGTAGAGAAAAACGATAACAGCATCGCTCATATCTTTTGTAATCTTTGTAATTTTTTTTTGTTTAGGTTATATATAATTTTTTTGTTTTTGTTTTTTTTTTTTTTGTAATAATAATTAATACTACTCTTAAAGATAATATGCAATGTAAGTATATATATATATCATATATGGTATATATATATTTCATATATCTATGTATGTTATTACACATACATATATTTATAAACGAATACAAGATATATATAGAAATATGTATTCATATATTACACATATTTTGTATTCGTTGTAATTTTTATAATATATAAAAATTTCTTTTATTTTAATTTTACTAATATTACTTTCAATTCATGGAATTGTGAGAAAATATTCATTAATTGAAAAATAAATAGATGTAATATAAAAGAATAAAACAACATTTTTAAAATAAAGATGTGAAACGAAAACTATTAATGAAAAAAAAAATAAAACACAAGAAATATTAAAATAATTAAATCAGGCTGTGAAAGTTAAAAAAAAAACCCTGCAATTTTTCTTGTTACTTAATTTCATATTAAATTTAAGATGCAGACTACAATACTTAGAATACGCAGCAACTCAATTTTTTTTTATTAATTCTTAAAATATTTTCTTAAAAACTTTACTATTTCAAGCCAAGTTTTAATTATGCAGCTGTACTTTTAGGATTTCTAGTGTATGACTTCATCTAATCAATGTAATAATGTAATTATAATGTAATATTGCATCAAATACGAATATTACAAATTAATTTTTACCTTCCAGTTTTTTAACTATATACATAAATAAGAAATATAAAAGTCAAAAATTATATCTTTTATTAGTTTTAATTGTGAGAATATGTTCTTCTCATAAATTACCTCTCTCTTCTACAAATTTATTGGATATAGAGAAGATACGAGTATTTGTAAATAATTTTAAAATATCCTATATTTTTACCAAAGAAATATATTATAATATCGTATATAGACTGCATTTGTAGATAAGTAATATTAAATAAAATTTGATAGTAAATACACAAAATATTATGTCAAATAATTATATATATATATATACACATTTACGTATATATATATATATATATATATATATATATATACATATATATAAAGTCATTCCAAGCGATGTTCTTACATAATAATAAATACAAAAAAAAACAAAAACTTAAATGAAATTACAATGTAATAAATGTGAATAAAAAATTATTTGTATGTAGTAAAAAATATATATATATATAATATGTAATATATATATGTATATATATATATATTTATGTAAAACTAAAATAAGTTACTTTCTTTTTTTATAATATGATTGAAAAAATATATTATACTTTGAAATGTATATGAGCTAAAAAAATATAAAAATTATAATAAATAATATAAATAAGAAAAATCGCTTATATAAATGTATATGAATAAAGCGGAAATCAAAAATAATATACTTAGTATATGATATCATAATATATATGAAATTATAATATATAGGGAAAATTTTATAGTATATAGTTTAAATATGCATATAAATTTGTTGCATTATTATGTCTTTATTTGATTTATAATATTATATATTTGTTGAGCATTTTATTATAACAGCATATTATTTATAAGTTATTTATATATATTAATTTAGTAACATGTACTAAATGAATTTGCAATTATAACAACAAATAATTTAATATTTTATTTAATCGTTATCATATTTATATAGATATTATTATATATATCATATATATGTAAAATATGAAAATATTAAATAATTATAAAATGATTATATGTACATATACTGTTGGTAATAAAATAACCAAAAACTAATACATAACGTATATATGTACATATATTAATTTTTATATATAAATACTATATGTATTCTCTTATTAAAATATTATTTTTAATATATATATTATTTTCCAAAATTTTGAAATTTTATTCAAAAAAGTAAATCTTTGAAAATTTTCATATTAATTCAAATTAAAATTTAATTGAAATTTCGTATTTTATTCAAATATAATTTAATATTTTAATGTGTATATATATATATATTTAATTTTTAAATTTGTCATCTTGATTTAAATAAAATATTATATTAGTTTTTATTATTTAAAGTTATTATAGATCTCAGTTGTCCTAAAAAAAATTTGTTCTTTTTGTAACTATTATTAAAGGATTTTGGGGTTAGTTTATATGATTTTTTATTTATTTAATTTTCATTCAATTATATAATAAAATATTATTATAGTAATTTAATTATATATATTATAATATTAATATGATCATTTGTTTTATGTTATTATTATTTATATGAGAAAATTTTATTATAAGTTATGTTTTAATATATAATATTAAAATTTTATTATAATATTAAAAAGCAATTATATTATCGATAAATAAATACAACTATACAGATATATATATATATATATTTATATTATATGAAAATAAATAATATTATGTTCAACAAATATTTTTATATAACAAAAAATAGTAATTAATACACAAAGAAAAGAAAAAAAAAATTAAAAATAAATGTAAATTGATGACTATATATTATATATAAATTAGAAAATAGAAACATTAAAAAGGATAATATCTAAATTTCAGTTAAATATTTTAATTAAAAAATGAAACATAAAGAAAAAAAATAAATAAAAAAAAACAGAATGACTAAGTATAAATTAAATTAATTTTAATCGTACAATATTTATATATAAAATTATATACTGATTAATTAAATACATCAAGTGCATTTCAGTTTTTTTTGTTTTACTATTTATTTTATTAATTACTTATATTTTAGTGTAATAATTCTCTTTATGTAATAAATTTTAATTTTTTTTTCATATTTATTTTATATTATTTGGGTTAAATTATAATTTGATAACTATATATATTTTTTTTTAAAATACATATTTTTTTTAAGCTTTTTTAATATATTAATTATTAATATATATAATTTTAAATTTCATTATAAAAATTGTAAAATAATTATTTATTTTGCTGCAGGGGGAAAATATTATTTGAACGTATTTACGGCATAGTCATATAATACATAAAATATTGTTGATTTTCGTTTTTTAAATATAAAAGATTTGAAAAATATAAAAAAAAGTCATTAAGTATTAAAATAAAAATCAAAATTTTTCATTAGTAAAAACTAATAAAAATTCAAATTGTATGTAAATTTTAAACAAAAAAAATCCTGAAATCAAAATTTTTCCTATTTCAAAAAAAAAAAAAATAATGGTTTTCATAAATAAAACTCAAATGTTAAAAGATACAAAAATAATGTCGACATCTCTGTTAATTGATTCTATTTAAAATATTTTAAATTAAATATTAATTTTTTTTTTTGTGTATTTTTTTATTTTTGAAATTTTATACTGCGTGTACACGCAATTAAAGTAATAGTTTTTTATACAATGTTCAAATTACATCTAATCAATAGTTTTATATAAAATAATTAAAAACATAATGGAATTTTTTAATGTGATAAATTAATAAGTATAACATTAAATTTTAATTGTATAACATTTGACTAAGATTTCAATTGTATAACAAATTTAATAAAAAAGACGACAACATTATTTTTGTATAATTTGACAATATTTTCAATTTTTTAGTATTTTATTTTTTTATTTTATGAAAAGAAAAATAAAAAAAAAAGAAATAAAATAAAATTTAAAAAGTATAATTTAATTTTTTCTTTTTTTTTGTTTTGCATTTAATAATCAATATTTCTTTAATGAATAATTAAATTAATTTATAATCTTACAATAAATTTGTGTGTATGTATTTTGTTATAATATATTCATGTTTTTTTTATTATAATTAAATATCATTTTAAATTCAATATGAAATTTTTTAATTTTTTTTTATTTTTCAAAAATTTACATAATTAATTTCCCTTTTTTTTTTTGTTAAATTGTAATGTATTTTGTTTAATGATTTGATTTATGCATTTTTTTTTTATAAAACTGATGAAATTTTTAAATTCAAAGTTGTATAAATGTTTATTTTATATAATAATATAATATAAGTATGCTTGAATATTTATATAATATTTTTATTTGTTTAAGAAATTATTTTTAAAAATAAAAACAAGAAAAAAAAATGTTTTTGAAATTAATTTGCGATATTTATTACTTTTAATGTATATTTACGATTTGCAAATTTGTAATATTAATGTTAAAAAAATTATTTTTTATTCTGAGGTAATTTATTTTTTTTTTTTTTGGTGGGAAACTAGTGGGAAAAATTAATTTTATATAGAAACTATAAGGAAGACAGTAATTAATTTTTATTTTTTGTAATTATTAAGTATTTTGTAGTGTAATGAAATTTGAATTTGTCTATCATGAAAGTGGATATAACAGTTTATATTTTATAAGAGAGTGTTGTCTTTTTGATACACCATTTTTAAAAATATAATAAAAAATTAATTAATTAATCAGTGTTATTTTTAATATAAATAACATTTGATTTTATGTTTCTGTAAATTTCGAAACAATTGTTTTACAATAATGTTATACGAATACTGTTTTTTATTTTCTCATGAAAATTATTTGAAAACATACTTTGTATATACCACTTTAATAAATTATATTTGTAATTTAAATTAAGTCACAAATGTTTAGGAAAACATTTTTGTAAGAAATAATATTGAATATATCTTTTAATAAGAAAAAATTATAATTTAAAAAATAATGATTTTTAAAATATTAATTTTTTTTAACTCATTATTTATATTAAGAGATTAAATGTATACATGTACAATGTATGTACATATAGAAGTTTAATTGGTAATTTGATGTCAAATTTGTAAAATATCGCCCAATTTTTGATAGAAAAATAATCTTCATTTTTAAATTACTTTAATATAATGATATTTATTAATATTTTTATAGAAGATATTTTTATTTATCGATTTTGACTGTAAAAAGTATTAAAAATATTGGAAAATTTAAATGAGATTGTATTTTATAGG